AGAAGAGATTTAACTTATCAAAAAAGGTTTGTCAATCTCTAGGTTCCCTGAAGCCGTCATGGATCTCCTGAATAATAAATCCCTTTGGTCTCTTCCTGCCGTGTATTGTCCAAATCTTAAAAACTAAGATTTTTAGCTGGACAAGAAGAAATTAAGGATAGTTATTCTGATTAAAAACCAATCCATCAAGCACACGTGGGTGCCACGTTATGCGTTACAATAAAAGCTCTATTATTAGGTCTGCTAGTAACCTTAATGTCGACTGAAAATTATCAATTTTAAGATACCAACACAAAGGATTTCCATACGTTTTGTTTTCACACTGGAAGATTGAATCTCACATTAAAGATGGTTCCTCTTTTATCATTTTATTTTTAGATATTTTTCAGAGGGATAATTCACTTAACGAAAGTAAATCTTTCGTAATATAGCTGTAATCTTACATCTTGGAAGCAATGATGTTGTCGGGAAGATTGATGTCCGCGGACATGCTCAGCTTCCCGCTACGTTTATAACGATGTTATTAAAGCATCGTGTCTGGACTAACCGTTTACATGGCTGCACGATATTATCAAGGCACTAATACGTAATCAAATAACCATAAACTTTTCTTATCATTTTATTTATTATATATTAAATTAATATTTGACTTCCGAAATCATAAGTCAATTAACAAAACTTCAAGAGCCGTGTGGGTTCTGTACTGTATAAAGCCACTTTGTTTTCGTTGTTCTCGGAGCTTGTCTGCTTGATTCACGATTCAATTATTACAAGATAACCGTGTGTTGTACGTTCCCGTTGACTTCCGACCATCGTAATGACATATTTCTTTGACAAATGTTAGTCGGATAAACTCCGAATGATTAATGTTGTTGTCTGAAAAAGACATTCACCTACACATCACATTGCATCTCATTTGGACTGACCGATTCCCAAAATATTTAAATATATCCCTTAGACTTAAACATTAAAAAATGTACTTTCAAATATTGTAGGTACTAAATGAACACCAGACAGAATGGTGGCTTATAGCAGTTATTAGATAATCGAGTTCCGTGTGTGAATGTTAAACAATAACAACAGAACAATAAAAATAAGAGTGTTCGAGAAGATGTCATCTATTCTGTAAATAAATCGGACAAGGGAGGAATTTAAAATGTTTTCTTGGAAATGGACATCGTGAGAGAAAGGAGGGTGTCTTTAGTCACGAGCAGAAAGTTTTAAAACAAACCTTAGTTTTACAAAAATGTTGGAAACTTCTGCTCCGTCTTGTTTAAAAGAACCCTGCTGGTTTTAAATTTGAGTCACATAATGATCTGTTTTAATGTTTAAGTGAACAAATATGTGCCCTTCTCCCCTGAATGAAATGATATTATTATCCTGAGAAAAGTTTACAATAAACAATATGTAAACGACCATAAAACTTCAAGAAAAGATGTTATCTTTAACCTACATTGCGTTTTACTGTTTCTTTGTGGTTTGAGGACATTGTATTAAAACGATTATCAACAAATTAACAAATCATGTCACAAGCCCTGCTGATATAAGGTCGCGGAATTTACGAGAACTACACTTTGACCCTTCGCAGGTAGTATGATCCTACCGAAAACTGATCGTTCTTTGGAAAGGTATGTAACAGCCCTTTCCGACGCAAAATATTCATACATTCATATAATAAAAAATGTATTCAGATCGGGAATTTCCAAGACGAGAATATCTCTTGTACTTAATGTCATTGAAATAGAAAGGAATGTTTATTATCTGTACAACGAAAATTATGACGCTTGGTCGTCAGATAGAGCATGACCGGACGTGGTGATATGGACTGTAACGACGTGGTAACGCTCCAAAATCGTTTTAAGATACCTTACGTGGAAGGTGGAGAAAAATGGCCAACTTAACTTTGGATGCATTTTTCACCAATTAAGGTGAATGTCATGAAAAGTCAAAATGTTTTAAATTATTCAGGTTTTATCATAAATGTCATTTTTAGTCAAAAAAAGATATTTAGATATTGAAAATATTCAATTCTTGTGGTTGGGGCCGTTTTACCTATAATATTGGATAAAATGTCCCCCCCCCCAAAAAAAATGCGGTAAAATAACCCACACCTAACTCTTAACAACAATGCAAATTAAAATAAATGTTGCTTTTAGCAATTACATTTAAATCACTTAAATTATGATGATTTAAGTTATTTAAATGCTGCAGACAAGGATGGGAAAGGTCATGCACAATATGCGCATTATCCAAGACAATGGTGAAAAAGAACGTGGATACTAGTATTAGGCAACGACGTACATTGCGGCCAAAGTGTATGGCGGAAATATACGTCATTGGTGAGGCTAACTCTTAGCCACTCATCTTAAAGCAATCGCATGTTTTTTTTAAAAAAAGAGGGAGGGATTTGAACTATGTTTCTTTTGCGGGTTTATTCAGCTATCTATAACTCCTAATTGTTTAAAGTAAAAAAAAGGGAGATAGAGCAAGCCCCTGAAATATAAAGTTTGTAACTATAAAAATTCAAAGTGCTTACCCTAGATCAAAGTCGTTCATCAATAAAATATATTGAGGTCTGCTTTAATCATTCACTTTGAAGTCTGTCCGCCGGTATAACGTAAAAAAACAGTTACACATAGGTACTCTGGAGAGGGACCGTCTTACCTCACGCATAGATTAAACTAAAAGCAAAACATCGAGTAAATTTAATATTTGTGTTTTGAAGAGTTGTGGCTTTTTTTGTACTGTTTATTTTTATGTCTTCTTTATTTTAGATGCGTAAGTTAAGCCTCAGAATACAACAACACGGCTCACTTCATAACTGCAAACAAAGTAATCTAACGGTTTGTAGGGGAGAATCGTAAAGTATAGTGTGTTACGGTTTGTAGGGGAGAATCGTAAAGTATAGTGTATTACGGTTTGTAGGGGAGAATCGTAAAGTATAGTGTATTACGGTTTGTAGGGGAGAATCGTAAAGTATAGTGTATTACGGTTTGTAGGGGAGAATCGTAAAGTATAGTGTATTACGGTTTGTAGGGAGAATCGTAAAGTATGGTGTGTTACGGTTTGTAGGGAGGAATCGTAAAGCATGGTGTGTTACGGTTTGTAGGGAGGAATCGTAAATTATTGTGTGTTACGGTTTGTAGGGAAGAATCGTAAAGTATAGTGTATTACGGTTTGTAGGGAGAATCGTAAATTATTGTGTGTTACGGTTTGTAGGGAAGAATCGTAAAGTATAGTGTATTACGGTTTGTAGGGAGAATCGTAAATTATTGTGTGTTACGGTTTGTAGGGAAGAATCGTAAAGTATAGTGTATTACGGTTTGTAGGGAGAATCGTAAATTA